GTTCATGTTCGGTTTGTATGCTAATGGTAGATCTTACACTTTTAACAGTTTACAATAACATCCTCTGTATTAATATGCAAATGCATAGAAGCAATTTGTTATCAAGCACTCTTACAAGGCTTTGTTTGGTTTATTATAATTACCACTTTACATTTACTTAATGTGTCATGAAGACATAAGAAGTAGGAAAATGCAGAGTACCACCACACGAGTTTTGAAAATCCTCTGTTTTGGAGCTTCTGAATCCTGATCGTTCTCTGCTTGAATTCCTGAGAAGAAGAAGAACAAGTGAATTTACATGAACAGCGAGTTCACTTCCTCATTGATGCCTATGCAGATCCCAAATCTCTTGTCAACTGATAAAGAACTTTGTTCTCAATACTTATAATTGTGTTTCCACATCCTCACCTGACTTATTAACAATAGGATAGGCTCTTCATAAAAGCTTGGATCATTGTCGAGATCGGAGTCTCTTGGCCTTTAATATAGCATAGCTTACTGCAGACAGGGAAGCTGCAGTCGGCTCAATCCTCTTTTTCGACATCTCTTTCACAAGTGTGACCGCCTTATGTACATAACCACTTCTACAACAACCAACTATTAGTGCTGTGTAAGGCTTCACATCAGGTTTCAACCCATTTTCAATCATTTCATCAAAGATCCTTTCCGCCTCTTGCATATCCCCAATCTTGCATTGTTGATCAATCAAAACCGTGTAGTAGACAACGTCTGGTTTAACATCAAGGGCTTTCATTTCCCTTTTCATATCCAACTCCGGATTACTATTGAGCAATACTGTGTATGTTACAACATCAGGTTTGATTCCTCTCCTCTTCATATCTTTAAAAAGAGCATAGGCTTCTTTCAGCTCGTTTAACCGGCAATACGTGTTAATCAAGATTGTGTAAGTGTACACATCAGGGATAATCCCTTTAGCAACTAAATCTTTAAAAAACTGCCGGACTTTTCTCACATTATCAACTTTACACCAAGCACCAATTAACGTTCGATACATGCTCTTCTTAGGTTCAACTCCAAGTTCCCACATTCTTTCCAGTAATTCTTGAGCTTTGCTGATATAATCCTTCTCGGCGAATAGTGTGAAATACACATTCTTGGACAGAGGTAATTCCAGTCTAATGAATCGTTCAAAGGCCTGATCAAGACGGCCAGCTTTACAATGACTTTTTACCATACTTACATCGAAATCCCGAGATTTATGTTCCATATTTTCATAGAAAGCTTTAGCCTCGTCTACTTTACCTGCAACAATCAGGCCTTCGATGACCAAGTTGTGTGTAACAGAAGTGGGCTCTACACCGCGAGCTTCCATTAGTTTTAGAGTTTCGAATGCCTCTTCTGCAAGACCATACCAAGCAAGTCCACCGGCGAGTACGTTATATATGACAATATCAGGTGTTTTACCTGTTTCTTCCATTTCAATCATCAAATCAAAGGCAACAGAACATTTACTTTGTAGACGACAGCAACCATCTATCAAAGTCGTGTAGTTGACAACATCAGGAGCTATTCCTTTACCTGTCATTTCTCGGAACAACTCAATAGCTTCTTCTACTTTGCCAAGCTTTCCCAAAGCATCCATTGCAACATTGTAGCAAACCCTATCAAGAGAAATGTTCATGTCTCTAAACTCTTTAAACAAATCATAAGCTTCCGAGAACTTGCCCATCTGACAATAGCACTGAAGGACTGAACTAACAATCACACAATTTATTCTCAACTTATTCTCCACCATTTTACAAAACAAATTCAAAGCTTTAGGTATATTCATGTTCTTTCGATGTCCTTCAATTATCGCCGAGTAAACACACATCCGGATCAATCTTACGTTTTTCCATGTCAAGGAAAACTTTTTCAGCAGCGTCTATTTTCATCTCATTGCATAAACCGCAGACCACTCTACGATATGCCTTAACCAAAAGCACATAAGTATGTTCATCCACATCCAACCCCTCCACGGACCGAGCTATTTGCCAGAAACTAGACACGGCCAAAATGTTTTCTCCAGAAGCAATCATACGGTTCATCAGAAAATTAAATGCCTTTATATCAGGAGGTGCATCTTTCGTCTTGTAGAAAATACCGATAGCTTCGTCAAACATTTCAAGATTAGCATAGGCTTTAACCAATGCACTAGAGACTCGACTCAACAACGGAAAAGACCCTTTTTCTCTCCTCTTCTTGAGCTTCTTCTTCAAGTCCAATGGCCTCTAACAAATCAATGTCACTGAAACCGCGTTCTTCATCTCCTTTTCTAACGAGTTCCACAAGCAATGGATCCAACTTCTTATCATCCAAACCACAATTACAAACGATTCTAATCACAGCTGCTAAGCTTTGACACTAGGCAAAGCTCCATTTCCTTCGATTCGTTTCAGAAACGACAAAGCAAGATAAGGGTCATCTCTCATACTTGTTAATACTCGAAGAACACCAATTTCATTTAACTCCAACGCATCACCATCAAAGTTACCTTCTTTAACTTGCTCCGAGTGTGAGATTGTAGGTTTTGTCGAGACAAGTGCAGGAACCACGTACAATCGCGAAGAGGGTCCTCTTCGAATCAATCCTCTCACATGTGAGAGTAATCGAATCGGAAAAACCCGCATGAAATTGTTTCCCGATCTCGTGGCAGCCGGAAAAACAACTAAGCAGGTCGATTTGTACTTGAGTTTCCGACGAAGAAACTGACGACGTTGGTTAAAACCTTAAATAGGTTTTCTCACGGTCGGAAAGATGGGAATCT